AGTGCTTCAGAAAATAAGGTGACTGGAGAATTTTTTGAAAATCTGGATAAAAAGTTGAAAGGGTTGCCCTCTCAACAGGACTGTTTTGAGTGCTGTATCTACAGGGTGTCCAAACGGGTTCAAAGCGTACATTGGCAAGCCTACTATCCACTACTGATTTCAATAGGTCCTCTTCACCGCAAAAATAAAAAACTTCAGGCCATGGAAAACGAGAAATTGAGATATTACAAAGAGTTTACTGAACGGATTGGGATGGATATGGAGAAAATAAGAGATATTATAAGGAGCATTCAGAATCAAGAAGAGCGTCTCCGAGACTGTTATTCAGAGGAATTCAAACTAGCGAAGAAAAGTGATTTCATAGAGATGATCCTGCTGGATGCTGTCTTCATCATTGAGTTTATGAAGGAATATTCGAATAATGATGAAGGTCCTAACAGGTTTGAGCCTAGAACGATATTGGACATACGAGAAGACTTGATACTACTTGAAAACCAACTACCTTTCTTCATTATTCAGGAAATATATGACGAGTACAATCGTGCTCGCCAAGATCCAACAGCCATTCCTTTTTTCGATCTTGTTACCTCTCATTCTAAAAATTACAAGTTTTTAAAAAAGGTAGAAACCAACCGGAGTGTAAGGAAAAGCAGACATTTCACTGATTTACTAAGAAATTTTATGTTGAATGGAGCCAGGCAGCCGAATGGAGCCAGGAAGCTGAATGGATCCAGTAATCCTATCATGCTGAGGCATAATGCTGTCAAGCTTCGCGCGGCAGGAGTCGAGTTTGAGGTCGCCGAAGACAAATGTTTGCTTAACATAACATTTGAGAAAGGAGTGTTGAAAATACCACTCTTGGAAGTTGATTACCACTTCGAACGTGCTGTACGAAATATCATGGCCTTGGAGCAGTGCTTGTACCAGAATGAAGCTTACGTATGCAGTTACATTAAGTTTATGGACCATCTTATCGACAGTGCAGAAGACGTGGGTTTGCTAGTCGGAAAGAAAATCATTACCCACAGGCTAGGTAACGATGCCGCAGTTTCAGTTATGATTAACAAGCTTTGCGAAAATATTAGTGACCCTTATACTTATTATGATGATATATGTGAAAAGATGAATGACCACTGTGATAGCCTCCTTAACCGTATGAAGGCAACCTTGGAACTTGTATATTTCCCCCATGTTTGGAGAGGTACGGGAACTATTGCAGCTGCTGTCCTGCTGATGCTCACTTTGATACAGACTATAACTTCCGTAAAATCGGTATTCTAGGATTTTATCTTGTTTAGTTTTATTATCCCTTCGTAATGCTGGATTGGATTATTATTGTTAAAATTGCAGTTAAACTTTGGGTTTCTGTAGTTCTGAACTAATAATATTGTATCAATTTCTTGTTGTGTTGTCCTAAAATTGAGTTTGTACTTGTGACCTATGTGATGTCCTTTCCCCCTCAATATTTTCATCATCTTCTGATTAAATGAAGCTGGAAAATTAAAGCATGATCTCCTTTTCAAGATCCCCAGTTTTTTTTTTTTCTGTTTCTTTCTTGCTTGCCACAACTATTAGAAAATGTTGCCTGCCATTATACAATTTCTTGCTTTAATTAATTTTAACATTAGACTGAGTTAATTTGGGAATGCTATGCACCAGAATTTAGTAACAAATTGCGGATGATTTGTTGTCTTGATAAATTGAGGCATTCATACAAGATTGCCACAAATGTTTTGCATTCTATTGATGTCTATTTCTGTTTCTTTCTTGCTTGCCACAGCAGTGACATGAATGCAATTGAATTTTCTATAGATTCATGTAATTGTGAAAGATGTAATGTTTTTTAATTATCGGATTGTACAAAAACCAACTAAAATGTAACTTTCCTCTATAAGATTATATAAAAACACCCCTTCCTGATCATAAAACTGTAGAATATCTCTATTTTCTAATATCGTAGCAGCATACCCAACGTGGTTATATTCCTCTGCTGATCATATAACAGCAGAAGATCTCCATTTTCTAATATCATGGCATCACCAAGAAACAATGGTTTCTCTAGGTGAATGTTGTTTTCCATGACAATCATTTTAATCCGTTCTCGTCGTTGTTAAGACCATAGGAATGTTAGATCACCGGATACTTTAGGAATTTGTTTCTCCATGGTGCATCAAAATATTGCTTTATAGTTGAGGCTTGATTCCAACTCTTTAGAGCTTAATATAGAGAATGTTTAGTCGGGAGAAGTTGGTTTCTTATGATTTGTTTGTTCCCTCATTTGTTGCTCTTCCCTGTTTCATGCAACAGTTTTTGTACTTTCTTTCCTCTACTTGTTTATCTTATGAAAGTTAGGCTATTATCTTTGTAGCCTTTTTCCTTAACAAAATTTCGACTATTAACAAAAAAACCGGATACTTTAGGAGAAAAGCAATAGCCGGATTTGCAGCAGCAATATCTTAGAGGATATGCAGTGCAGTGACAACCGGATATGCAGCAGCAATATCCTGAAGGATATATATCCATTCTGTTATCAACATCTTCTAATATTGTGCCGTCACTTTAGAGCAAGTTTGTTTTGTATTTTACCAACTTATAGTTACAGTGTATCTCTATAAATATAATACATTGACGTATGGCTAAGGTAACAGAGCCAAGCTTCATCTTATTTTTCCTCTGTTCATATATTTACATGGTATCAACCTAAAAACACATAAAGCTCACGCTTTCTTCATTGATCCCCTAGCTTTTGCAAATTATTCTTTCTTCCATGGCAACTCACACCACTTCTACTCCTCCAGCACTTGCCATCCCCCTCTCGACCACTATTTCAATCAAACTTGATGGTTCCAACAATTACCTGGCGTGGAAAATGCAGTTTCTTAATCTGCTCCGCGATCATGATATGATAGGTTTCATTGATGGTACTGAAGTTTGCCCTTCACGAAATCTCTCCACTGGTTCATTAAACCCTGCCTATGATGTTTGGTAGAAGAAGGATGTCTGTCTCCTTGGATGGATACTTGCCTCCATTTTTGAAAGGCTGGTTTCCACCACTTATGGATTGACCACATCCAAACAAGTCTGGACTACTCTCCAGAATCATTTTTCCTCGTAATCAAGATCCCGCATTTCTCATCTTAAACGTCAACTACAAATGTTGACTCAAGGAGGGAAAACTTGTTCTGCATATATCCTGACACTGCCAAAACTCTTGTTGATCAATTGGCAGCAGCCGGAAAACCTGTAGATGATCAAGACCTCGTCAATTTTCTTCTGATTGGTCTCCACAGTTCTTATACCCCATTTATTACCTCCTTTAACTTTGGATCTCGCGACACTGAGTTCACATTTGAAGATTTTCAAATTGAACTCCTAGGCTTTGAAAACCTTCTAGAAATCACTCAGTCAGCTGCTACTGCAGATAATAGTCACTTTGCCTTTGCTACTCGTAAACCAAAACTGCCAGCCTCAATCAAAAAGTCAAAACCTTTCAATCCCCGTCTTTCATAAAATAACTGTTATAATCTAATTCTGGGTTATTTTTTTAAAATTACTTTTTTTTTTTAAATTTAAAAATTAAAAAAATAAAATGAAGGCTAGTAAAGTGGAGAATACAGGTCAGGGAATCAAGCTGTAATTGTTGGCGGAAGTTCAAGGCCTAATTGTATCTCATTATGCCCAAAATAGAGAAAAAAAATGCAAATTTAAGGTCAAATCAAATGATTATTGGATGGATTCACATAAAAATTAAGTTCAAGGATATAATTAAATTTTTAATAAGCCGATTTGATTTAATCATGAACCAAATTAAATTTTAATTATGTTTAAAAATTAATTTGGATACAATTGAAGGATTTAATTAAACACAATAATTTAATTATACTTTATTATGGAAAGAGATTAGAATAGACTCCTTATACATGTAAATACCTTACATAGGAATAATTATCACGTATAGTATACTCCACTCTAGTTTTGTACACAACCCTAAAGGTATAAATACAAAGAATGGTTGCAGCTATTAGCAACTATTCAAATCATTCTCTAAACTTAACTTGGGATCAGAGCAAGCAAAGAAAATAAAATCGCAGCTTTATTTGTCTGCAAACCATCTACATTCATCTGGTTCAATTCTCTTCTCTGTCAATGACAAATAACTTTGTTGCTGCTGGACCGCTCACTCACTCTTCGTCCTCTCTTGCGCCACCTTCAATGTCAGCTGCTACATCTGGTGCTTCCCTTGCTGCTGCTGAAATCGAACTGCCTCAGACTTCCTCTTTAGATGTCATGACTGCTATGACAAAAGTCCTTGCTATCATCCCTCTCCCCAACACTCAGCAGGTAATATCTTTAAAGCTCTCCAACACCAATTTCTTGTATTGAAGGATGCAGATGAAACCTTTTCTCTTAGGCCAAGGCGTTTTTCCCTTTATGGATGGCTCATTACCATGCCCTCCCTCTCATTTGATTTTTGTTGACACCTCCTTACCTGCTGTTAATGCTTCTTATCTGTCATGGAAGCAACAAGACCACCTAATCATGAGTGCTCTTTTAACCTCCCTCTTTATAGAAGTTCTGCACCTAGTGGTTGATTGTAACACCTCCCACGCCATCTGAACAATGCTCGAAACAGCCATTGCTTCTCCTTCCAACTCACGAATTATGCAACTCCACGGTTCCACCCAAAAGCTACGACAGAATGATGAGTCTGTTAGCACATATCTTGAGAAGGCTAAGTCCTTGTTTGATGATCTTGCTGCAGCCGATAGACCAATTTCTATGGAAGAATTTAATCTGTATGTGTTTCGGGGATTACGCAGCGAGTTTAAGGACCTGGTAACTAGTTTATCTACTAAAGCTGATCCTATCTCGTACACTGACCTCCACAGCCACCTCCTCACGCATGAATTTATCAATAAAGCTAGTATCCATCCTGCTGTAACAGCTCCTCTGTTACCCACTCCATCCCAGCAGCCATCTGTATTTTTTGGGCAGCGGTAGTCAGGTTCCAATGCTGGCAGAAGAGGCCGTTTTCGCAGGGGCTGGCGACCAAATCACCGTAGTAGTTATCGTGGAAATCATGGTTATGGTTATAGTTCAGCCCAGAATTTTAGTCGTACAAATTCGACTTCAGGTTCACAGTTTGGACAATAGGGAAATCGGGTCTCCTATGGCTCACCTATGGCTCAAGTCAGCACTTTGGGCAGCAAAGCACCCGGTTTGGAGGGTCTCACCGCACCATCAAATGTCAACTATGCTATGATTATAGGCATACTGCCCAGCAATGTTCTCAATTATCTACTCATCATGTACAAGCTAATGCCAATTTTGCATTTAATACTGCCCCTACAACTTCTCATGTTACTTGGTTTTCTGATACGGGTGCAAATCATTATGTGACGCTGGATCTTGTGAGTATGACGAGTTCAGAACCTTACCTTGGTAATGATCACTTGCATATTGGTGATGGTAAAGGCCTTGTTATTTTTAATATTGCTCACTCTCACATTCATTCCCCCAAACGCACATTTACGTTATCCAACATCTTACATGTTCCTACCATAAAAAAAAAACCCTTTACTATCAGTCTTGAGAATAACATGTTTTTTGAATTTCATCCATTTGTATTTTATGTTAAGGATCTCATGACAAAGACAGTGTTTCTTTCCGGTCAAAGTAGAGATAGTCTATATGTTTTGTCCGAGTCCTCTGCAACGTCATTACCTCAAGCCTTTCTATCCACCCTAATCTCTACTTCAGATGATGTTTGGCATCGTCGTCTTGGGCATCCTAGTCCGCGTATTTTGCATTTTTTAGTGTCAAATAAAAAGGTGTCTTGTACGTCAAAATATTTTGATTTTAATTGTTCAGCATGTCCTCTTAGTAAGTCGTCTCGTTTGTCTTAAAAAACTACAGGGCATCAAACTCAAGCTCCTCTTAACTTGATTTTTAGTGATGTTTGGGGACCTTCCCCTATGTTATCATCTGATGGATTTCACTATTTTGTTATTTTTGTGGATGCCCATACACGGTTTATTTGGTTTTACCCCTTGGCTGTCAAATCTAATGTTGTCATGACCCGAATCCCGGGTCCATGACCGGCAACGCAGGAGTAGTGTCGAAAGGACACCCCACCTACGCTAAGCCTCAAAACAGAT